CATGCCAAATGAAAGAAGGAAGTCTTGGGAAATTTTGTATTTAATACAATTCATATCTTATCTAATTACAGAGTTGTAGACTGTTGAATAAAGACTGTGCACTGCATCGGGTAAGTTGTCACTCTGGATAGTCAACAAATAAGAACACAATACTCCTACTGTCTAATGTTTGGAACCGATGTGAACAGTGGGGTTGGAACAACAGAATAATTATGCCAGAATAATTCTTTGACATAATTGAGTCCATCAATGGACAGATGAGATTTGGGATTATCCAGAAGGAGTTAACAGGGCTTCTCCTTAGAATACTTTATACACAGAACAAAATTATAAACGCAACATTGTGGTTTTTGCCCCCATTGATCATGCAGGAATGTCCACCAGAGCTGTTGCCCATGAACTGAATGTTCATTTCTCTACCATAAGCCGTCTCCAAAGGCGTTTCACAGAATTTGTCAGTACATCCAACCGGCCTCACAACCGCAGACCTCGTGTAACCACACCAGCCCAGGACCTCCACATCCAGCATCTTCACCTCCAGCCACCCGGACAGCTGCTGCAACAATCGGTTTGCATAACCAAAGAATTTCTGCACAAACTGTCAGGAACCGTCTCAGGGAAGCTCATCTGCATGCTCGTGGAGCTCATCGGGGTCTCGACCTGACCGCAACTTCGCACAGCCATTGAAGAGGACTGGACCAACATTCCACAGGCCACAATCAACAACCTGATCAACTCTATGTGAAGGAGATGTGTGAGGCAAATGGTGGTCACACCAGATACTGACTGGTTTCTGGACCTCCCCGGACCCCACCGATACAGTAAAACTGCACATTTTCGGCATTGTTGTGGAAAGCATCAACATTCTCTGTTGAAGCCACTTGCCTTGATTTGGGATGATTTTTGATTAAAGAATAAGCCATAGTAAATAGCTATCAAGGTAGTACCACACTTTGGCAACTACTGACCTTGTTTTATACGGTCTATGCTACACACGCAAATTCCATCATGTCAGACGAGAGTGAGACACTCTACCCACACCCGAAAAAAGTTAGCTCACCAGGGAGGGAGTTTTTCGGATCCTGTAAAAAAGACAGGGTGTTGGTAGACATCCCAGTCTGCAGGACGTGCCCTGAATAGTGACCACAAAATGGGGGAAAAAAACACAATCCTGTTCACCCAAATTTGCCTTCACATCCTGCAGATGTCGCTACGGCAGAGAGTAAGTTGCAGTTTGTTTTTTGTTAACCCTGACACCGGAAACATTTAGGTTACAGTAAGGTCTTAGCTAGTTGTGTTGTTAAGTTAATAAAGCTAAGTTATCATGAATTGACAGTATTTTGACATCATCAAAGAAACAAGAGAGAGAGCCATGGATTCAGGGGTCAGCTCCATAATATCATTATCGTGAATTCTTTTGGCCATGATAATTCTGTAGTGAAAATCTGATGTTGTGACAGCCCAAATGTCAGGTGGTGTGCTGCCATGCTCTGTCTTTCGTTGATAATTTCAAACCGCCTTCCTTCCTTCATTCCTTCCTTTCTTCAAAAACACATTTTCTCATTGCAATTACAAATAAATACCAGGTGTATTATGCTGTCTACTATCCTTGTTGACACATGCATGTGTCTATCCACATAACATGTTTGCTAATGTTGGCTAAATCTAGAGGTTAGCTATAAAAAGACGTTATTGTCTCCTCTACTTAATGCAAAATTATGATTTTGAATATTCATATCTAACAAAGTTGTATAGCATAAAATGTAAAGTGCGAATGTTTTACTTTTGGAGGTGAAATAATAGGAAAATTGTGCTCTCTGCAGATTAGCGTGACCATGACCACATGTGAACAGGAGGTTGATCACAAAGAACAAAAAGTCACACAAAGTGGCTATTTGATTTTTGAGATTGAGCCTCTAGTGTTGGAGTTATAAACAGTGTGATAACTTACACATGTGACAACTTACCCCATTCCCCCCTACAATATTGGCTTACAAAGTGCAGCGGAGTAGAAGTATTAAGTATCATAAAATGGAAATACTCAAGAAAGGTACAAGTACCTCAAAATTGTACTTATGTACAATCCTTGAGTAAATGTACTTCATTACACCCACCTCTGGTTGATGATTCTACATGCCTTCAGACTGATGCATGAAAAATCACATAGAGGCTAAACTAGACCTGCAAAATGTCAAGGAGACAAGAAACTTTCATTTAAGGGCAAATGTTATTTACTGCCTGTTGTATTTACTTTGTAACACGTGTTTAGATTAGTGCTCCATGAATAACCAGTAAGATTATATTACAGCACCTGACCCTGTGTGCATAGTGATAGTGATTACAGCACCTGACCCCTGTGTGCATAGTGATAGTGATTACAGCACCTGACCCCTGTGTGCATAGTGATAGTGATTACAGCACCTGACCCTGTGCGCATAGCGATAGTGATCTGATAACTGTTACAGCAAGTCCTTTCAGCTCATGTCTTGATCTACAGAGCTGTTATTGAGGTATATGCATCGGAGTGTCTTTGTTGTTTTCACAGCTTTTTAAAAAGGAGAAAATGGATTCGTGCCAATTTCTCATCCAGATTGTGTGTCGCAACACTAACCACTGTAGTTTATGGTTAGAAGAAAGTCATCCCTGCCTGTGGCCATCAAACTCTTTAACTCCTCCCACAGTGTGTCAGACACTGTACTCTTTAGTCTTTATCTTGACATTGTAAGTGCTATATTTGACTTTTGTGCAATATTCGCTGTTACAATATTTAACTAATGTCAATACTCTGATTTACTCTGTCCAAATACTGCAATCTCTACACATTATCAGTACTGCTTGCTAACTATTATTATTTTTATTTCTTTAATGCCTTTTTTTTGGCAAAGTGAGCAACTGTAACTCAACAAGTCCCCCTCAGGGATCAAGAAAGTATTTATGATTAGGAATTTGATTGCTCAGAAAATTTCCTATATTTTAGTTATCTTCATCATAATTTTTTATCATTCCTTCAGAGTTAATTTCACTTGGACAACAATGCAAATGTTTTACAGTCACCACAATTGCGTCAGTTACAGTAACACACCACCTCTGACTTGTCCACATGAGATCAAGTCTATTCCTTCCTATTAAAGTTCAAGCACTAAGAAGAGCACAAGGGACTTATATGTTAAGTCATGAAACATATTTTCTACCTTTTGATTTTCACTACAACTTGTATTAACACTGAGTAATCCATGGCGTTGATATTTTAGTGGATATCTAATTTGCTGAGTCATAGGAAGTTGATTGTTTAGGAAGCTTAATAATTGTTCCTGTGATATTCCTATGATGTCCAGAGCACTTTCCTCCAATGTTTTAGATGATAATAAACGCTCGTTCACTTCAACACGTCATCCAGGTTACAGTATCCAGTGTCTACAAGCACAAAGTCAAACTGCACTTTCTGTACTTTTAGATCTCCTTCGCGATTAAACTCATTAAACCTACCGTTTAAAGCTGAGACGTGTCGGTTTATTCTGTGGCAAAAGAAACCCTTCGCTTTGGCTCCTTTCGCCCTGGTTGTGAAATAAAAGGAAGTCCAGCTGTGATCAACAGGCAGCAGCTTCTGCACCTGAACTAAAGCGCCTCCCTCATCCTCCAGGCGGCGCGTTTTGGAGAGCTTGGCGCGCACTTATCCACAAAATGTGAACTCGATTGATCGTTAATCCTCAAACCTCCGACATAAACACAAAAGTCACACATCCTCTGTTCACATGAGTGGACAAAAGAAGGAACGTACTGTGGAGACGCACCTCTCCTGGGTTTTGCGCGCGCAGTGACTCCTCCCTCAGGTTGAATGGGCGCCTTCAGCAGCTCTCAGCTGTCCGAACTGTGTGGCTGTGTTACCTGCAGGCAAGGCAAGGCATGTTTATTTGTATAGCACATTTCAACAACAAAATTTTAAACAATCACATTAAATCAGGGTAAAACAGGACAGTAAAAGTTACAGTGCAGTGTACAATCAGGGTTAAAAGCTTTAAATGGAAAATAAAAACAGGCTGAGGGGTTGAGCCAATAATTGAGTTACAATTATTCTGAAAAAAGAATAAACAGAGAAGTGTACTTAATCTACTCTCTCTAGCTAGTCTGTACTCGGGTCCACAGCAATCTTTGGGTCCACTCCAAACTCCAAAAACCCTCGGACACTACAGAGAAACCAGGACATGTCTGTCAGCAGGCCACCTGCACGTTTACAGATGGACAGAGGTTCCTGCAAATCACTCAGGCGTGAGATTTAAGACCACTTCCTTCACTCTGTTCAATCTCACTCTCATTATCTTTTCACCCAATTACCTACTCATTTCTCACCATGTAAATATTTAATTAAAAGCAATGGTAAAAATTAAAGTCTTCAGTCTTAATTTAAAAGAACTGACAGTTTCAGCAGACCTGCAGTTATCTGGGAGTTCCAGATATACGGAGCATAATAACTGAACGCTGCTTCTCCTTGTTTAGTTTTGACTCTGGGGACAGAAAGCAGACCTGCCCCAGACGACCAGACAGGAGGTCTGGATGGTTCATAATGAAGCAGAAGATCAGAAATGTATTTTGGCCCTAAACCATTTAGTGCTTTATAAACTAACAGCAGGATTTTGAAATCAATTCTTTGACATACAGGAAGCCAATGTAAAGACCTCAGAACTGGAGTGATGTGATCCACCTTTTTGGTCTTGGTGAGGACTCGAGCAGGGGCGAATTTAGGGATCTAACAGCATGAATGTCTGCCCTTCTATCTCTATCCGCACCAACCTCCATTAACATTTCTGTTAATATTTGATTATGAATAAGATTTGTTTCTTTCTTTCAGTTCACATCTCACATCCACTGCAACATTTAATATATCTTCCCACCCTCATTATAATTTTTATGTGCATTTGGTGAAGTTTTTCTTATGTTGTAGAAACAGTGAAGACAGATTTGTCATTTGAAGCTATATGAATAAAAACTTCTCATCCACTCGCTGCAGTAGCAGTCAGCCACCTCTTCCTTTATTTACCTCTGCATGAGTTAGATGAGTGAAATGTTTTACTTTTTTAACAAAAACAAACACCAAGCTTGACAATAGATCAGATGTTTGCATTAAAACCTGCAGTGTGAATGTAGTCTTAGAAACACTTTATGCTTCAGTTATCTCGTAACAGTGAAAAGTCATTCTGAAACTAGCAGCAAAGTTCGAACCTCAGTAGACCTTCTAAGTCTACTGAGGTTTCAGTAGAAAGCAATTATGACAAACATGAAAAAACTTTTTTTATAAAGTGGCCAGTATCTCCACACCCTGATGTTTTACCCTGAAAGCACTGACAAAGCCTGTTTATATTTTAGGGCTTGATAAAGATATCATTGTTGTATTTATGGCCGTGAAACAATATAGCTTTGTTTCAGTATTTGAGACACCATGGAGAACTGAAAAAAACCCATCTGATTTTACATTATGACTCAGTCACTGCCTTTAATATTAACGGGCACAACTCTGTGTAAAAGAACATTGTTATATACAGTATATTACACCACAGTAATGTCAGAGCATAAACTTGTTGGGTTAAAAGTGCAATCCTGTGGCTCCAAAGCAGAAATGTGACCTGCACCGGGTTTATATGGTACAAACTTTACTGAGTTTTTTTATTAAGTCGCTATCTGCTTTTATTGCACATCAGCGTAATCCACCTCTGATCTGATGAAGCCTCCTACCTGAACACAGTCACAGAAAAAGAAGCTATTTCACTATTTATTTATTTACCAACATGCACAATAAGTATTCACTTACAGGAAGTGGTGTACCCCACTGGATAGATGTGGAAAGTGTTTACTAACTGGGTAATCGGGTTTTCCCTATAAGGACCACACAATCAACAGGTGTGATTAAATGATTTACTGATGATCGAAACAGAAGATGTATGGCTTGCGGTTGCCGAAGAGACATTCGAAAGCGCTGTGGGGAAGCTACGATAGGGAAATCCGCCGTAGCACCCGGGCACGACGGTCCCCCTTATAACCCTATGGAAGAGGAAGAAGATCAGGAGGCAGGACAGAGAAAGGGGTGGTAGGGGACGGATGCAGGATACGTGTGGGTATTTATGGAAATGCTGGCGATGACGTGGCTGATGTGTGGTCACGCTCCTGAAACTCTGCTAATTAGCACCACTAAAATGATATATAATGATAGGCTGTGCTGATGTCCTGCAGGCTTTTGTTCCTCTTAAAGACTGATGGGCCATGCCTCACCTGTACGTCTACCTGACACCAGGTGGGCTCAGGACTGGATGATGACACCTCTGTCTTAAAGGAACAGGAAGCTCTAAACACTTTTCAGCTGCCTGATAAGGCCTCTCGATGCCAGTAACAGGCCAGCCTTTATCAGTCTAAACTGGACTTTGTAAGCTTTACATGAGCTAAATGCTAATGTTACCTTGCTAACATTTTAGGTATCAGTAGTATGCTTCGATTATCTACAATCGCTCCCTGAACACATTGAAAGTTATATCATCCTAGTCAAACCTCTGACATCAAACTGCTGTGTTCATTTGAAAGATTTTTGCTCCATTGCACAATCCAAAAATCCTGCTTTAAACTTCTTAATTGCAAAGACTCTGAAAACCTTTATTCAATGACTTTATCGTCCCCTTATCTTAAAAGGCCAGTGCTGCATTTTTTTGCCGCTGTGATCAGAGAGGAACATTCATTCTTTCAGAGGAGGACAGCAAAAGGGTCGCTCTGATGTAATAAAACAGTCCAGCACTTTCAATTATGGCAGATTTGAACATGTCTAAATGCATGTGTGTGGTGATCATATCTTGTACACTATTTCGTTTCTGAGTCTGTAGGCAGGTGCAGAAGCCACATTGGATCCCTTCTGGCATATACAGATCTGAACCACTCCCACTTGTGTGTGAGTAGAGAGCTGGAGTTGGTCGGTCGTCTCTCAGTCAGAGCCACGCCCCATTGTTTCTCTGCTGTTTGAGTTTTAGGTGCGGTGGACGATTCTGTCGATGCTCTCCTGGATATCAGCCATCTTCTTCAGCACCTGGTTGACTTTGGCTTCATCAAACTCCAGACACACAAACTCTGAGTCCTGAGAGAGAGAGACATTATATTACAACACATTCACACTCCCATTTAGAGTACAGACATTCAGTTTGTTAGCTTTGATAGCGATGTGGCCCTAGTGATGTCAGTGTCAGATGGTTGGCCAGTCAAACATTTTGTTCCTGAGAGAGACGAGGCTTTTGTTGTACTGTAGCTATCAAAATGACAGTAAGACAGAGGGTTAAAGGGAGTAAAGGGATTTGTTCAAGATGGTGCTTAAAAACAAAACTGCAGTTTGGCCCACTTATCAGCCCAGTTGGCAGTTGGAGCTGCAGCAGTGGGTGTGACAGACAGCTCATGGAAGATTTGAAGTAAATAGTCTGTACTTGAATAAGAGCCTTTCTAATCTTGCCACCATCGTTCCTGTGCCTAAAAAGTCTGCAGTGTCCAGTCTGAACGGACCACCACCCTGTAGCTCTCACCCCCATTCTGATGAAGTGCTGTGAGAAACTGGTTCTTCAGCACCTAAAGAACAGCCCAGCCAGCCTGGACCCTCACCAGTTTGCTTTCAGAACCAACAGATCCACAGAGGATGCCATCTCCACTGCCCTCCACTCAGCCCTCACACACCTTGAGGAAAACAACAGCTACATCAGAATGCTGTTTGTGGATTTCAGCTCAGTGCTCAGCCCCCTCCAGTTCCCGCTGTACACCCACGACTGCATCCCCCGACATGAAGAGAACTGTTGTGAAGTTTGCAGATGACACCAACATCATCGGCCAGATTTGAAACAACGATGAGACTTCATATCGGGAGGAAATTCATAATCTTGCAGAGTGGTGCTCAGAGAACAACCTACTGCTCAACGTCAGCAAAACCAAGGAGCTGATCGTTGATTTTAGGAAGAAGGAGATAAAGACACACATTCCTGTCTACATTAGTGGAGCTGAGGCAGAGCAGGTGAACAGTTTCAGGTTCCTGGGAATCAGCATCACAGAGAACCTGACACGCTCGTCTCACATCTCCACGCTGGTGAAGAAAGAAAGCTCAGAAACGACCGTTTCAGCACTGCTCCAGTGATAATGGTTCATTTATGTTAACAGCTAATTCGGTATATATTTCTAATGGTGCCAACAAATATATAATAAAACAATTGGGCTCAGGTCGTAGCTAACTAACTGACTCCATGTCAACATTAGGAACAATTTGAATAAATAGAACATAATTGTGATTATTTTGACTGATATTACAATTGCGATATAATCTGTGATATTATGGGGAATGATGCTTATTCTCATTTTCATTGAAAAAGATATTACCCTCCTTATACCCAGTGTCCTCATATGGGAACTTTAGGTTTAGGACTCCCTGCACTGTACACTTCATTCTGCTTAACTTAGACCTTTTGTCCTCATTAGGGGGCAGTTGCCTGTGCCCTCTAGGGTACACGGTTTACAAATTTGCACAGCCATGTTCTGTTGAAATTAACAGTCTACTATATTACACATCGGTAACATTATTGTGTTATATAGTAAAATAAACCCAATGTCATATGAGGACATCAACTTTATTTTAAAAGTACTTCCTGTTCCTGAAAAATGCACACAGAATTATGGTGCGATTTCTGCAAGGATCAAACAAAGATGTTTTATTAAGTCTGTAGAATATGACGCGTAGGTCAGCACATCTCTGCAGCACGACAGTATTCAATTTAAAAATGGCATTTTGACACACAATCTCTGCCTTTAACAAATATTGCAACTCATGTGATTTGAAAATTGCAGTAGGTCATATTGTGATTTCAAAACAATTTCAATAAACTGTTCAGCCCTAGACAACATTATCAGCGTCAGACTTTGAGAACTTGGATAGTTTGAATAGAGCAGAACAAACTCCTGCCACTGACCAGCACTGTGTTAATTACATGCTACTTAAAAATGAATGAAGTCTGGTTCAGCTGTAATCTGAGGGTATTGGATCTGCCCTCATTATTGTATCCTGTAATTGTTTACCATGACATCGTGATCCTTCTCCTGGTTACCACGGATACAGCTATTGTCTGTATGCATCGCCTATTGCTCGGTTAGAGGCACATCCCTTAGCACCGAGCACGAGACATTACAGAACGTGTAGGCGTGCGGCGATATAAAAACTTTATTAAGATGTACTGTAGTGTGTTCTCAGACAGACTGATGTATTAGGCCGAGCACGACAAGCTGAATCAGGTGGCGAGAAGCTGTGAATTACCCTTTCAGTGATATTTATAAAACACAAAAAATCTTTTGGATTTGGATTCCAATACATAGTTGTAACATAACAGAGCTGCAACTAATGATCATTTCCATTAACAATTAGTCTCTAGATTATTTTCTCAGTTAATTGTTGTCTACATTTGTCAGAAAATAGAGGGGGGAAATAGTAAAATATTAATGCTCATCACAAAGAGGCCAAAGTAACATCCTCAAATTGCTTGTTTTGTCCAACAAACAGTCAAAAACCTAAAATATTCAATTTAGTTTTTATAAGTAGTATAAAATAGGGAGAAGCAGGAGAAGTTTGGCATCATAAATAAGATTAAAATAAACGGTAATACATTTTCTATTTATAAACAAATGGATCAATCAACTAATCATTTCATCAGAGAACATACTAATGCAAATGGAAATCAAATGAAAATGAAAACACGTTGGCCTAATTTCCAGTCTGACGTTCGAGAAAAGCAGGTTCCTCCACACGGATGAAGGGCATCGTCTCATCCCTCGCCACCGGCAGGGATTTAAGAGTTAAGGTCACCTTGTTGGTTAATGTTACACGTTCCTTCTGTTGGCTATAATTAGATTTAATTTGGATGCACTAATGATTTCATGTTTATCCTACAGTATAATACAGCGGAGTGGCAGCATGCTGCTTTAGTCTGCTGACCTACTTTCTCTGAGCCGTGGGACCTGCAGATTGGCTCACATTCAGAGAGAACAGGGACAAGACAGACGCTTCAAGGACAAACGGCCATCAGGAACACATCACAATGACAACTCCTCACCAGCTTTCAGAATGAAAAGCCCATAAAACTCCCAAACAATTAAGTCCACCCTCTAAAATATTTATAAGCCCAAATATAGGAGTGTTCACGCATCTTTATCTTGATCTCATCTTAATTTTACTGATTACCGAGTTACTGATCAGTGAATGGGAATAAGCACAACAACAGGCCAGTTTTAGTACTGTTGTTTAAGTCAACACATCAATAGATTTCCTTTCTTATGTAACTGATCAGTAATTACTGGTGACAGGTAAGTATTTTGTCTCCTTTTCTTTTTAATGTCTATATGGATGATCTACAGTGTCGTATGATGTATGCACGCGCTAATATGTTGATTCGCAAATTTAGTATGTGCTCAGTATCTGTGAGGACTACCCTTTTTAAAGCATATTGTGCCCCTATGTATACCGCCCATTTGTGGAGGTGCTACAGAAAGAGCAGTGTGCAGAAGCTCAATGCAGCATATAATGATGGTTTGAGGCTGCTGCTTCAGGTGCCACGATGGAGCAGTGCAAGCCAAATGTTTGTCAGCGTTGGCGTGCCCACCTGCTCTGCTGTGCAGCGCAATCTCATGTACAGATGTATGTGTAAGCTATCAGACTCTGACCATCAGCACTGACCAAACCGGCACTAAGTTCAGTCAGGTTCTTTTCTAGAACGTGGAATCATTGCCGTTTTATCTGGCCTATGTAATATTGTGGACTATGGGCCAGATATCCTAAAGGTGAGTAAAAACGTGTGCTAACTTGATATCACCATCAAATAACACGTAAGCTGATCTACTAACAGTGTGCACCCAGAATGAAGTATATCAAAAGTGCAAAATAGCACCTGTTGTTCATGTACTACTTAATGAATATGCAATTTGGGGTGTTCCAGTTTCATTGTGCAAAGTAGTGGGAGGGTAACATGCCAACACATTTATTTACTGCACGCAATGTGATCTAACAAGCCTACAAGCGATTTCTTGTGAGTGCAACAGCATCTGGATTTAATATGTAGGAAAGGAAGGTGCAAACCGCCAGGTGTTGCAGAGATGGCTGCTGTTATTGTTGCCAGAAGGAGACACAGCCGTAATGAAAGAAGTCGTAGAGAAATTAACAATATTAGATGATTCTATATCCAATATATAGAAATACAAATATTTTATTTATTCAATGAACTATTTGAATTGAATTGTTTGTTGTATTTTCCTTTAGCTTTGGCGATACTGTTGTATTAATATTCATGCCAATAAAGCAAATTTTGTTTCTTTTCTCCGTGAGATGGAAGAATTTAGAAAGTTGCGTGGCGCTGCAGAGATCCCCCAGCTGCAGTAGTACGTGGATCACGCGTAAAATTCATCCAGCCAGAGGGAACGATCACCAGCTGTTCACAGTCCGGTGCTAATAGCGACACCACTCATTGTAGGTATCGGTGAGGTGAATGGTTGGCTGGATAAAAATGCTTTCCTTACAACGTGTGAATTACTGAGGAAGTCAGCCGACTGGGTTAAAGCGTCGCTGCTACAAGTAGAAATGTCTAGAGGGCTCCTTGCTGCTGATGTGAGTGTCCGTGCTGCAGGTAAAAACATGATCAGTAGAGGAGCTTTTGTTTTTGGCGCAGGTAGAAAACATTCCTGCACAGAACCGAAGCCATAGCAGAAAAACCAGCCCAGTGACAAACAGGATGAACTCTCCAGACAGCCGGGTTAATTTAGGCGTCGCCGATTATGTCTTAAGCAAGGAATGAGGCAAGCTGACCCCTGACCTCTGCTGGTGGTCAACATGCCCAAAATATCTACGTTTTACACACACACACACACACACACACACACACACACACACACACGTTCTCTCAGACAACAGTGCATAATCTCTTTGGGACATCTGGGCCCATAGCGTCTATAGCATTTTACAAACCAAACAATGAAAATGTAATTTCAAATGATTTTTCCAGACAAACATTTAACTCCATCATAAACGTAAAAATAGAAGAACATTATATGAGGTAAACAATTCGTAGACCTCACCAATCATCCACAGCACAGCCTGAAAATAAAATCCACCTACGTGATCCAGGTCTTAGATTGTTTATGGTGTCTGAGCGCATTAACCGGACCGCACCAGGCGAAGTCATCAGTATGGATTTGGGTATTTTCTACTACAACAGAAGCCCACATTTTGATTTGGAAGGACTGTGGCTTGCTTCTTTTATACAGTCAATGGTTGGAAACAATTAGAAGTGGAATAAAAGATGAGAGACTTGCAGAGGAGCCAATGTGCTGCGCGACTCCAAGACAACCAAGTTAACTGATTGATTCAACCTCCTGCTGGGAAGTGGATTGAACTCTGGAGCTGAACTGGACATGATGGATGAAAAATCATACAAGAACAAAAGAACACAACAATATATCTGAATGAAACAAATGCTCTTCACCTACATGAACTGCACACAGCCTCTAAACAAACAGGCAGGTAGCTACAACGGCTAATCCAAGGAGATACTTACTGTATTTACTCTTGGTTGTTCTCAGAGACGAATGTTTGAAATGGCTGCCTACAGATATACATAGTTATGCTATTGTCCACGTTTCCTGAATCTCTACAATTGAAATGGCAAGCACAAGTTCCTATGACCCATAATCAGAATGAACACAACCACCGGGATGCTGTGAAATATCAACTAGGGGCCTTTATTTACCTCAGAGGCAGAGAGAACCAGGCCTTTATGTGGTAAATAAAGGCTTTAGAAACAGGGTTTGTATTTATTTCCCCAGCTCCCTAGTTAGTGAAAACTCAAAAATTCCTCCACGTTTACCCTTTGTTGTGATAGGTCCTGAAGAATATCCACAGCACTTGAACTGCATGTCTTTCGTTTCCCAGGACGATGTTAAGCTGCACCATGAATAAATCTAAACTCTTCTACAGAATGGTTTTGTTTAAAGTCTTGCAGCCTTCCTCTGATGTAAAAATAAGAAAGAAGTGTTAAGTTTTGCTGACGGTAGCTTAACATCGTTAAAAAAAACAAACAAACAAAAAAAAAAAAACAGAAACTCAGCTGCAACTTCATTTAGCTGACACTGTTATCCAAAGACACTTAGAACTACTGTATATGTCAGAGGTCGCACTGGAGCAACAAGGCCACAGCAAAGGCATAATATAAAACCCTAGTGAGTTGCGTTATGTGAAACGTAGGATGTCTTTGGAGCTACAAGTGACTAAAAGTCAGGATATCTTGGGCTCTGCAGATTCAATTTTCTCTTGCAAGTGTTCCAGACATTAGGCTGTGTGATACATTTCATGACTAAAGTACATGAATGTACTGAAATCACAAGTCACATTGAACATAATTTCATGGAATCATTTCTCGCCACTTTCTGAGTAAAAATAAGGCAGAGCTGCAGTGTTTCTGGTTAACGGCACTGCGCTGGGAAGGTGACAGTTTTGTTTCAGGTGTCTGTGTGATGTCACAGGGCAGGTATAAATACTGTGTTCCAGACCGGTCGGATCTGGGAAATTTCCAAGTTGAAAAAGTGTTTTAATTGCAGGGTGGTGCATGACGCTAAATGTAAACAACAAACATGGCTGACTGTGGCAAACTTTCTTTGGCAGGTTTATGCACAGTTAAACCCTCAGCAATTGGTGATATTTAAAGCAAATGTAAACACTGTATTTGTATAGCGCCTTTCTAGTCTTTGCGACCACTCAAAGCACTTTTACACTACATCTGCATTCATACACTGAGTCTAAGTGCTCAAACAGAAACTAACATTCACACACATTCACATGCTGGCGGAACAGCTGCCATGGGCAATTTGGGTTCAGTATCTTGCCCAAGGATACTTCAACATGCAGCCTGGAGCCAGGGATTGAAGCGCAAACCTTCCGGATTAACGGGCAACCTGCTCTATCTCCTGAGCCACAGCTGCAGTAAAGGATGGACATTTTATTAAAAATAAGTGATTTATACACGTAACCCGTTAACTGTGTATCCTTCTAGCTACATCAGTTGGTAATCCTCAAGTCAGCAAAAGTTTCATGGTATATTTCCAAATGTTTTCACATTTCTGGGCATTTTTAACATTTTCCTGAATATCTTTTGGGCAGAGAAGATGACATTCAGAGATTGTTTACTGTAACCACCTACCTAATAACGTTGCTAAAATATTTCTATATTTCTACATTAATTTACATGCAGAACAAGTTTTACTATTTGATACTAATATGTATTATTTCAAGTTAATACTTTCCTTTGCCTTTTAGTTTATGGTTTACCATTTACACTGTGTGCTTCCATGGGAGCAGCCATTGTTGTGTGACGTCATTCGGCTGCTACTCGGGAAGTCGGGGTACATATCGTTTCTCCGAGTTCTTTTTCTAGTTGGAGGTTGGAAATTTCCCACTTCCGAGTTGCCTGGAACGCAGCAAAAGTCGGTTCTCTGATTGGGTCTCATAAGTCATGCAAAGCAGAAACACGGTGCTACTGACAGAGTTTTTGATTTGGGATTTTTATTAACTGTACCGTGCAAATAACACGCCGTATTTACTTTGCGACGACTCCCAGTCGGTTTTAACTCCTGTGTTACATCCAGAAACATTTCCAGCTTGTTATTTGGTCCGTGAAAAAAAAAAATTATGGAGCAGTGGATAAGACACATGCCGCTGGTGTGAGAGATCCGGGTTGGAATCCACTGTGACGCACCAATGGTCCCCTGAGCAAGACACTTAACCCCAAGTTGCTCCAGAGGCCTCTGACATATATAGCAATTGGAAGTCGCTTTGGATAAAAGCATCAGCCAAATGAATAAATGTACTCAAAAAAGGCACTTTCCTTACAACAACTAACAACTGAAATCAAACGGGAAAGCTGCAGCTTAACAGCACAGAATGGTTTGGCTTGTTTGTGGCTTGCAAGTTTGTCCGCCTCTCCTCAGCTTCACTTTCACTATATCAATTCAAAATAACTTTAACGGGTCAGTGACACTGACTCCTACGCTAACGGCACAAAAATCAAAACAACTGAGGATTCTTTGAATGAACAGCTGCTGCTTGTTGTTGACACTAATCATTTTACAGCCTGGATCCTCTCGGGGTTTGCGAGAAATGGTTAACTTTAAGCAACCAAATTCAGTTTTTCACTCAAATTATTTTACCTGATTACCTTTACAGGCCAAAATAATCAACATTAATTAGAGGTGGTTCTTCAATTCTAGTTTGATGGTACACAGCCTGTGCAGCTAATTAGGATCTAGTGCAGCAGAAACAGGAAGACATTGACTTTCAGTCTGACATTTGAAGATGAAGTTGATAATGTGTAAAGACTAAACACTGTTCATACAAAAGGCATTCAACAACCCAAACAATCTCTACCATACACATGAAGTACTACTGACCTGCTCTATTCATTTCAAATAAGGTCACACATTAACAGTAGCACTGCCTATTATCCTCTGGGAGAGGCTCTGAAACTGTTTTCAGCCCAGAAACCCAGATAGAGTAAATTTAGCCTTCTCATGGGACCTGGGTTTATTAAGAGACCAGCAATCCAGAGCCAAGTATCCTGCCATACCCAAAACCAGTGCATGCCTGTGCTGTTTGGCTTAGAGGTAGAAAGACCTTTCACCAGACCAAACCATTATAAAAGGAAAGACAGCAATGTCCACAAACACTACCAAATGTCTCCTCGATGGCTGTTTGAGCCCATCAATAAAATCAATAAATCAAATCAATAAAAATGATGTTAAAAAATTCTTAAAAGCTGTAACTGTAACTTATTTTTGTGCCATTCACGTGGGCAGGGACAGCCGGCTCGGACAGAGAGGGACTTTTCATAAAAGCTCTTTCGGTGGACTGAATGGGCCGCCATCGTGGACACATCAATGGCAGTGATCAATCAATTCTATCTTTATTTCCCAGCCTCTCCATTTCTATTGCTGCACTGTACACAGAGCACACAGGAAACATTAGTGTCCATGTTGACATCTTTAAGTTTTCGTTTTGTATATATTTTGTCCAATGAACACTACTGTTTTGATTATGTAAAACCTTTATATAGTGAGGAACTGAGAAACTGTGTCCCAGTTAAAGAGAACTCACATTTATTTCAGTCTGTTAGTAGTTCTATTACATATTTGTCTGACCTTTTAGGTAAATGTTTAATGTTGACTGCTGCTGTTGTTCTCTTGAGCAAAATTCTCCAGAAGTTGTCTCTAGCTGGTCGGTCCCCAGCATTAATGTGTGAAGCTGGATCAGCATCAGAGTCTCACCTGACCGGCTCTGCCAAGCTCCAGCTCCATCAGGGCGACCGGGCCGCTGTGAGCCGCATCCCCCCGGCTGGCTGCAGTCTGGAGGTCCACCCTCCAGGAGAGGCCCCTGAGGCCGGGCTCCCAGCGGCTCTGAGCCAGCAAGCTCTCCCTCACCCGGACCCGCTGGCTCTTCCAGAAGCGAGAGAGGGCAGCGGCCTGTTCGGCAGTCACCCCGCTGCTGCCCTGCCTCTTGGTCTGCGCCGTGAGGAAGGCCTCCAGCTGGGCATGGTCCATGTCTGCCGTGGCGATAGACTGAGAAATGGAGGAAAAGGAGGATTTATTCTTCAAAATGACACAAGCCAGTCACTGTTTTCTACCAACTACAGCCGTGTTTCGACCAAAGGAACTATACCACGGAACTAGGAACCTTTGGAGGAACCCTGCCCTGATGGAGCTGGAGCTTGGCAGAGCCGGACAGGTAAGGAAGCTTGTTAAAATCACGTTCCTCTGAAGGTCAGGCGACACAGGCGTGAGTCCTGCAGCTGATCTGCAGCTCTTATCAGTTGGAAATATTTTAATGACCTTCCAAACTGGCGCTTTCTCTGTGCTGGAGTTATTTTAAGAACTTTATGGCTTTATCCAGTTTGTCTCTCTCCTTTATACTCCCACACAAAAAAGCTGCTTTATTGGTCAAGCACAGCCTGTAGTTTGTCATTATATTCCAATCAAACCTGATGTTCATTTATAAATGTTGCTCATGGATGGTGGTTAGAAATAATGATGCCTGTGCATCGCTGTGTACAGCCTGGCCTACAGCCTACGCCAGCTGGTTAATTTGTTCTTCTTCTTCATATTTATTGTAGAACCAAATGCAACCAAATGAACCAGATTGCACAGAGATATATACAGAAAATAAGTGTTATGAGTGTCAGCACAAACTTTAATCAACAACTTCAGTTCAGAAAAAACATTGTCCGTAAACAACACCAAAAATGACTGTTATCACCATTTAGTTTTAGTATGTTTGGCTGTTTTATATATATATTCCACAAATATATTAATATAAAATAATCAAGCTGCACATTATCTCACTGTTGCTCTTTGTGCTCTGTGCATTTTAACTGTAATGTATGCTTTTTCGCAATAGTGTTCAACCATTTTCTATTACCTCTCCTTATGTTGTGAGAATATTTTCATGTGTCCTGGAAAGTTTCTAATTTAATTGTGTCACTTTTACTTGATTAAATAAAGGAAAAATTATTGTGATTTACATTAATCATTTTACACCTGAAGTGTGAACAGCACTGGAGCCAGGCTGATAACCTGATTAACAGGTATGATAGTGCCCCCTGCTGGCAACAGGGGAGACACACAGGAGCAGACTAATTACTGGAAACACATCAGTTTGATCGCTTGATTAACATTAAAGACAGTCTATTTGGGATTTACATACATGGGTTATTACCTGATATTTACCAGAAAACCTTAACAAATAAAAATATTTTACCAACTGTTGGTTAAACTTTACTTCTGGCAGCATCTTGTTCTTTCACTCCATCTGTGATTTTTATTTTTATTTTTTTACATGAAACTATTCCTGTGTTACTACTAATCCTGCTTTGGTTATAATGACATTAAGGCTGACATAAGAGACAAAAATGAGTCACTGTCACTAATTTTTCAGGCTGTAATTTCAGAGACGCTTCAGCTACAGCTTCTGCAAAATGTAAAGTAAACATTGCCAGTTGACATTTATTAACTTATCACTTATCTCAACTAAAAAATAAAATAGTTTTTAGTTTGCTTCGTTTTCATTCATAGAAAAAGGCTCGTATTTCTGCTTTGTTACTTCCAGGATGAAGGTGTTTTATTACCTTTAGCAGGCCTTTCATTTTCTCATGCAGAGCCTTGAACTCCTCCTCCGACAGCTCGGGGTAGAGCTCATCTTTCAGCAGCTCCTCTGTGATTTCGGTGTTGTTATAATATACTTTCTGAGCTATTCCGTTCAACAGTCCGCTCAAAGACTTCGCTACTTCTACATCCGCCATGTTTCCTGGTCACATGAAGCTGACGGATCGTATCACGTGAAGCCCGCCCCATTGCGGCATTGTGGGATTTGTAGTTCTTTTATTTGGTAGTCCAGACTCATCTACGGCGTTTTGCTGCCTTCCAGAGACCTTTGGAAGGGCAGGTGCTCAAAGTATAAAAGGGGCACATGGAACAAAGATTTAAATAGGGCCTCAAAATATCGATACAGAAATATATTGTTATGTATTCCTTGATTATATGTGTATACAGATGCTTCTGTATCGATACATCAACAAATGCTGTGACACAGTTTTGAAAAAGAAACACAGGGAATACCCAGATCTAGCTTTAATACACGGTGGGCTGACATAACTTACAGGGAACAGTTGCTGTTGAGGGATTGCTAGGGTTGTTGCTGCTGCTTTGGTTGCTGCTGATACTACTGGAGGTGATCTGTGACTAGATTTATTATAACAAACATAGAAGATACATAAACTGATGAAACAAATATGTGACCATGACAAGATGTAAAGATTGCTTTAAGTATTTGGGACCGGCTCACTATGACTGACCTGCTGTAGCTGCAGCCGCTGCCTAGACTGACTGCTATGAGAAAATAAGAGGGAGACGCTCACAGAGACTGCTGCACACCGAGAGCTGCAGGGAGAGGAAATAAGATACCAGGTTCAAAAAAGTGTGGGAAATAATCTGGGAAGGAAACAGTACTGGGAGAAAGGACTAGGTTAGCCAAGGCAGGGGTAAGAGTGAGACAAATCTATAGACAGGTGTGTGTGTGTGTGGGCAATATTGTGATAATGATTTTATATGTTGCATTGTGAATCTGAGATATATATTGGATTTTGAGTGACTAATCATAAATCTAAAAATATATGTGTGTGTTCTTTCTGTTGGCCCATAATAACCATGACAGAGCAGCATTTACCTCTCACATTAACATTTCATACCTTTTTCTGAAATCTAATAGGGCTATTTCTTCTTCAATGTCAGGAATATTATTTATTTTATATTGACACTGACATTATTACATGTATTTCCAGTTATTTAGTTCATATAATAGGTTTGCTATCTATTCAAATACTGTTCTGATTTAAATGATCGTTTGAAAAAGGGCTGATAAGTAGGCTATAATTCGGGGGAATAAGTAATAAACCTGTTTTACCAAAGTTGCTATAATTATTTTAAGATACACTATGTTTTTAATTAAATTACTATAATAATCCTAGTTGAAGTGAAAGGTTTTTAGTCAAATTATATAAAAAATACCAGACCTCACGACGCCCGTGAAACTTTTCTCCCTCAAACAGCAAGAACGAAGTGAACAGAGCAACTTTAGTTTATCTGTGTGTAGAAGCAACGTTAGCTGTCGGCACAGTGTTAGTCGGCAGATAAACTTACTTCTACTGGCGACACGCAGCAATATACAACTACTGTGCTGCTCTCTTTGCATCTTTCTTGTAAAATACATCCAACAACCCACAACAAGCACGTTGAGGCAAACCCCTCTTACCTGCAGAATCGCAGGTGTCCTGCAGGCAGAGCTGCTGAATCACTAACGGTTTGACTTCACGGATGAGGTCATCAGGTGAAAGGTCATAATGTGGGTCATTTTATTTACTACAAAATTATTTTTACTAATAGTTTGATTTTGCAGGCCTTCACAAAAGGACCTTCACAAATTTAAAAATTAATTAAATTTGTCATTGACAAAAGGGCACTTTGGGCATCAAAGGGCAAAAGGGCAGGTGCTCAAGCACCCATAGCACCCCCCTCTGCACGTGCATGCTGCCTTCCACAGTTTGCTGTACACATCATTGTTCATGAATTTGTCTATATCATCTGATTTTCTTTTTTTTTTCACCCTTTTAAAATTGTATTTCAATGTCTTTTTTTCTTTCCCTCTAATGCTCTCATGTTTTCAATTGCCTTGCTGTTTTAATGAGCTCTAACAAATAAACTTGCCTTGCCTTTTTAATCCAGTCTTATGTAGATGTTCCATCAGTTTCTTCATTTGGTTCCAGCTGTCCTAATTCAGTGTGTAGATTAAAACCAGTTTCTTCAGTTGCTCCCAAGTCCCTGAACACTTTCCTCCTTTGACGAGAGAACTTTTTGCAATGGGCTAGTACAAGCTTAGATGTTTCCTTATCTCCACATTTGCATTTTCCTTCAGGATGTTTACCAATCAGAGCCCACAGTGCCCAAACCTCATCTCTCTCTTTGCATTAAAAAGTGCATTTTTTTCCTTTCTCTTAAATTCTCTGAACTTAGAAATATGTGCTCCACTTGAATTCCTCTATGTGACTAAACGTGAGTTATTAGTAAGTATGTGTTAATACCTGGGTTCAGAAAGGTATGGCTGTATTTTATTTGAAACGTTCACTTAGATGAAGAAAACAAGACACAGGCGTATTCATTACAGAAGTGTTTTATTTTGTCTTTTGTACAGCCTTGCTATAAAACAAATTCAACCTTAAAAACCGTCACAGGTCATTTGACAACACTTAGTCTACATTTGTTAGAAGATATTTTGAATGGGGGTAAAATACGTGTGGCTGTTATACACGTTTCAAATGTTATCGAACGAATGGATCACATTCTGATAGTGAAACGAGTCATTTCACTCGGGTTGTGACTGTCAAATATATTGATCCACCGTGTTACAGACGCTGGATTGGAGGCTACTAAAAGTTACTTCAAAGCACGGGGCACTTCCTGAGGAGGTGCGCGTCAGGCTACGATTGTCAATTTGACACAGAAGTATAAATCACACTTCAGTCTGTCTGTAGTGTCAGTGACAACGACAGCCTGGTAGCATGCTTCAGGTCTTGGCCAGTCAGAAGAGAGTGGGCTTTGAGAGGGGGGGGGGGGGGGGGGGGGGGGGGGGGCTTAAAGAGACAGGAGCATCTACAGCTTGTTTCAGACAAGCGGCAACCTCCGGCTCTCACTTCCGATACCAATGAGGAAGTATCTGAAACTGCAATTCATCGAGTGGCCACTTGAGGCTGTCTGCGGTGTATTTCACATTGCCACCCCTAATTACTGCCACATGTTAAAATGCCCAACTTTACAGCAGAATAAAACATGTTTACAGCCTGGTTCAAAAAATGGTTTTAGTGCATTTGCTAAGTTTGCCCTTCATGACAACTGTGAGGGGGGTAAAAAAAATTTATAACTCACCTGTTTAAATTATATTAAGCCTTAAACTTGGTGAGTGAAATTCCTGTATTTTATTTATGTGTTAACATTTAACAGGTATCGCTGTCGGCATATAGCTTGTTAGCTTAACGTTAGCTCGTTACGCGAATTAGCCCTTAGTGTAAGCAACGTTATGTAAGTTAGTGTGTTCTAACTGCAGCTTTTAATGAGTCAAAGACAAGTCAGCAAGAAGGGAGAAGCCAAAATGTAACATTATTAGATTAACCTTAGTGTTAGACATTAGGGTGATAATGCTTTGAAGAAAAGGCGTCTGTGTGAAGTTGTAAGTAAAGGCTCAGCTCTCAGTTAGCTGCCGTTATGTTAATGGTAACTTTTACTGACGGGCGATGTGAAATTTTTCTACGTCCTGTAACGGAATCACTGTTCAGTTAGATACTAGTCAGATACTATTGTAAGTGGCTGCACCTGATCCCAAAGGACACGAAGGGTTTAAAGGTAGAGAGCCGAGGGGGGAGCCTGAAACTGTCACACCGAGGAGCACCGATGCCACTATTTGAGCTAGCTGTCTCTCCCGAGGAGAGTCGTGCACCTCCAAGTGTAACGTTACTGTTTGAAAACGATAACGTTGTACTGTTCTTTGTGGGGTTCATCAGTGGGGATGATGGATTCGAAGTACATATTAAAGGCAGTTTAGAGTCATCAATAAGTTATTACACTTAGTAGATGTAGCGTTCCTTGAGATTCAGCAAACAATCTGATGTGATAACTGCGTTTGATCAGCGACGTTTCTGATAAGGATCTTAAGAGGTGGATGCATAATTCGTTATGCCAGGTGGCTGGGCTGTAACTAGGGCGATGGTTTAGTTAAGGCGAGAAATTAGGTGTGTGTGAGCTGCCTGAGTTTGTTTGGTGGGTTAGAATTTGCCAAAATAGGTAGTACAGTTCAATAAGAAATATAAAATAAGATCCTTACAATAAACGTTCAATAAGATCTAGTTATTGCACAGTGTCCAGCAGCAAACTGTATATTGCACATATTAGTAAACATTGCCACCCCTAATTACTGCCACATGCCAGAGGTTATCATGATGAGGCGATCTCATAGTTCAGTTGCTTTATGGCTCTTTGGAAGAAGCTGCTTAACTGTCTACCCATTGTTGTCTTTACAGGTGCCAGAGGAGCTGATTACAGAACCCTCCAGATGTGATTAGCTGTGTCCAGCTCAGGAGAGAACAGCTCCAGCTTCCAGCTCTTCAGCTCCTGCTTTTCTTTTTACTCACAACACCTGAACACTACTGATGTGAAATTATGACACTGGGTTCTATCATTATAATAACTCTTACAACACATTTCAAGTCATACAAAACTACTTTTACTTTTGTAGCCTTTTAATATTGATGTTTTCATGAATGCAAGACAAGAGTTTAATTTATTTATATATATATATATAACCTATTGCTTTTGTATTAGGAATACTTTGTTATACAGTGTATCAAACTAATTATACATAATAAAATCATCCTTCATTCATCATCAGTTTCATATTTTAATTTTAAATAGTATTATAGTTAACAGCTGTAAATGAAAATATTAAGATGTTATTTATAGGCTAACATTTTGCATATATGTTAGTAGAAAGTAAAAAATGAAAGGTTGATGTTATATACTGTTTTATTTTGACATTTCTTTAAGAGACAAATGTGACATTGACTGAGAAGTTACTCTGTAGTGAAAAACAAAGAATTATCTGCACACTGAATAGTTTTGAAGCCCTGTAGGAGGTGTCATTTACTGCGACCTCTGAGAATCTCTTGTGTGGTTTACATTGTATAGACTCACCTATTTACTACATGTGCGTTCGGTCAGCTCTGAGACCTCAGAGT